AAAAAAAAAAAAAAATCTTATAGAGAAATATAATAAAATAACTGTAAATTTGGGGTTGCTTTTCTTATGTTTTGAGTTCCAAGTGTGCATTCTTTTTCTAAATTTTCAGCTTCAGTTGTGGAGAGCCAAAAGGGTATCATTCCTCGAGCTATTCAAGAAATATTTCAAAGCATCTCTGAACATCCTAGCATTGACTTTAATGTAAAAGTATCTTATATAGAAGTATACAAGGAAGACCTAAGAGATCTTCTAGAATTAGAGACATCCATGAAGGATCTTCACATCCGAGAAGATGAAAAAGGAAACACAGGTAAAGTAGCCTGCTTAATCAGTTGCCTTCATTAGCAAACAGACATGCTTTAATTTAGTTTCTGGATATATTCCAAGGAATCTTTAAATTAAACAGATATAGAAGCAAAGTGAATTTGGGCAGGGGAAGCCCTTTGTGTAGAAGGACTTTTTATGAGCCAGGGGCCACCTCTCTGGATCTTTCTCTCTTTTAAATTGAATAGCCTTATTGATTATATATATTATATATAATTATATAATTGTCTCCCTCTCTGTCTCTCTCTCTCTCTTTCTCTCTTCCTTTTTTTGAGACAGAGTCTCTCTCTGTCACCCAGGCTGCAGCGCAGTGGTGCCATCTTGGCTCACTGCAACCTCTGCCTCCTGGGTTCAAGCGATTCTCCTGTCTCAGCCTCCCAAGTAGCTGGGATTACAGATGTGTGCCACCACACCTGGCTAATTTTTGTATTTTTAGTGGAGATGGAGTTTCATCATGTTGGTCAGGCTTGTCTCTAACTCCTGACCTCGTGATCCACCCTGCTCAACCTCCCAAAGTGCTGGGATTACAGGCATGAGCCACCGTGCCCAGCTTCTTTTTTTTTTTAAGTTGAGTATATATATATATATATATATATATATATATATTTCATATTGACATTTCCTTGTTTTTTGTTGTATTCCTCAAGGTCTGACTTTTTATATTAGTAGCCTATTAATTTCATTAACCAATACCCATTTGTTGGAAATGGGAGAAGGTTAGAATGGGAGGGTCAAACTGCAAGTATTTTAAAGAATAACAATTTCTGCTTTTCTAGTTTATAAGCTAATATGTTCATCATAGAGTATTTTGAAAACAGGAAAGTATAAGGAAGAAAGTTAAAGATCATTTTTAATCCCAGAGCCTAGAAATACCAATTTACCAACTTCTCTTTTTGGTGTGTTTCCTCGCAGATTTTTTTTCTATGTACATAGAATTTTTAAAAATATATACTTGCAACCCTGCACACAGTTTTGTATTTTATATTTCACTTAATATTTATATTGTGAAAAATTTCACGTGATTAAATATTTTTCATGGTTATATGCTAATTTGTCTTATGAATGTGTTTGTAGTTATTTAATATTCCATTGTTGGACATTTAGCTGTTTGCAGGTTTTAACTATTATTAATAATATTGCAGTGACTATTCTTTTTTTTTTTTTTTTGAGACAGGGTCTCACCTCTGTCACCCAGGCTGGAATGCAGTGGCATGATCATGGTTCACTGCAGCCTCAACCTTGCAGGCTCAAATGATGCTCCTACCTCAGCCTTCCTGAGTAGCTGGGACTACAGGCGCCTGCCACCATGCCTGGCTAAGTTTTGTATCTTTTGTAGAGATGAGGTTTCACCATGTTTGTCTATCTTGAACTCTTGGGCTCAAGTGATCTGCCTGCTTTGGCCTCCCAAAGTGCTAGAATTATGGGCGTGAGCCACCATGCTCGGCCTATTCTTGGATGTCTTTTTCTCCTAAAAAACATATTTAGTAAAACCTTCCTGGAGATTCTGCCAGAGAAGGGAATTTCCTAGCAGTTAGGAAAATAAGATGGCTTTAGTCATTCAAATAGCAGTCTACAGGAAGCAGCAAATCTTGCCTCTTTATAGCCCTGTCCTGGCATTTCTGATTGGTTGAAGAAATTATTTTTGTTTTCGTTTTTTGAGGAAGAAACTATATACAGTAGTTTATGGTCTTATTAGATAATTCAGTACAGTTTATCTCTTCTGGATAGAGTTCAGACTGATGTTTTGAGCTCCTTTATCTTATGGAATACAATTACTGAATGTTTTTATCTTTTATCAGAGAGTTAAAAAATAATACATGCTTCTTGTAAAATATCAAGCAAGACGGAAGTATACACTTCACTATCACTCTTGGTAAACTTGATGATCAAAATATTCCATATCTGATAACAATGCTGAAAAAATTTTGGAAGGATGTTACAAATTATCTTAAATTACAGTATATCTTACATAATGTCCCGCTCACAAATAAAGTGCATTTGTTTGACATATTTCTTTAGAATCTCTGTGTGAAGCAGAGATGTCCATGCTGGCTGCTGCACAATTAGTACACATGGGAAACTTTTTAAAAATTCTGATTTCTGGGTCCTACTTCTCAGGGATTCTGATTTAAAGGGTCTGAGATGGTGCCTGGGCATTGGCACTTTCTTTTTTATAAAGCTACCAGGTGATTTGTGTCTGGGTTTGAGAACCAGAGTGCTAACTTATAGCCTAACATTAGAAAAATTTAATGACAGCTTTACTGTGATTTACAGGTACTTAAATGGACTGGGTTGTTTAAAAAGTATCATGATGGCCTCGATCTCTTGACCTCGTCTCTACTAAAAATACAAAAATTAGCTGGGCATGGTGGCACACGCCTGCAGCCCCAGCTACTTGGGAGGCTGAGGCAGGAGAATTGCTTGAACCCAGGAGGCGGAGGTTGCGGTGAGCTGAGATTGTGCCATTGCTCTCCAGCCTGGGTAACAAGAGTGAAACTCTGTCTCAAAAAAAAAAAAAAAAAAGTGTCATGATGGAAATAATGAAAGTGAAGTGATTACTTTTTAAAGAAATAGTGATGTGACAAAATCTGAGTAAACAAGAATTATGGCAATATAATTTGACCATGAAACCAGGAGCTTTCCTTCTCTGATTTAATTCCTAAGTCCGCCTACTTCTTTTTGAAATATTTTTAGATAGAAACAAATAATGCAGGTCGTAAATGTAGTTTATTTTTAGTTCATTCTGCCATTGAAATAACAACTGTTTTTCTTTTTTGAGTACAATAAATTATGGCTTTCAATGTGTTTTCTTTTAATTGCCATCTCATCTGTTTACCTTGCATCCTGATATTATGTAAAGCATACCTGTTTTTAAAATGAATAAACAACTTTATTTATATTGATTTTTTTTTACTCATCATTGATTGTGACCTCACAATACCAAAAAATCCTAAAAGCTAAGGATGGCTTGATTATTAACAAAACTGAAAAAAAAAACTAATGATTTTTAATTGATGCTAATTTTTCTAATCTACTGATTAACTCTTTTGAGTTATAGATTTAATTAATTTATAAAAGATCAATCTAGGCCAGATGCAGTGGCTCATACCTGTAATCCCAGCACTTTGGGAGGTGGAGGCAGGCAGATCACCTGAGGTCAGGACTTCAAGACCAGCCTTGCCAACATGGTGAAACCCCATCTCTACTAAAAATACAACAAAAATTAGCCAGGTGTGGTAGTGCATTCCTGTAATCCCAGCTACTCAGGAGGCTGAGGCAGGAGAATTACTTAAACCTGAGATACAGGTTGCAGTGAGCTGAGATCGCCGCCACTGCACTCCAGCCTGGGCGACAGGCTGAGACTCCATCTCAAGAAAAAAAAAAGATTAATCTATTAGGCTTTACAAATCAAAAGACTGGAATGAAGAGTTTTTCTTTTGTCAGTCATTATAAGGAATTGAATGTGACTCACGACTCTAAATAAACTAGATAGTTAAAAAAATTATAGTTTTTAGAATTTAAACATCAAGATGAGTGCTGTCTGTTAAAATAGTTTCTTTGGGAGATTATCTAAAATTATTTGCTAATGTTGCTGATGTTACTATTGTTATTTGAAATGCTGTTGACTTTTTAAAAACAGACTATCTTGGCCAGTTTAGCAAATGGTAACTGTTAACTATACTAGGTTTTGATGAAAACTTGGCTTAAAAACATGTTATTGCTATTTTCAGTGATTGTTGGGGCCAAGGAATGCCATGTGGAGAGTGCAGATGAAGTGATGAGTCTTTTGGAGATGGGGAATGCAGCCAGACATACGAGTACCACCCAAATGAATGAGCACTCCAGCAGATCACATGCAATTTTTACAATCAGCATTTGTCAAGTTCAGAAAAACATGGAGGCAGCTGAAGATGGATCATGGTATTCCCCTCAGCATATTGTCTCAAAGTTCCACTTTGTGGATTTGGCAGGATCAGAAAGAGTGACCAAAACGGGGAATACTGGTGAACGCTTCAAAGAATCCATTCAAATCAATAGTGGATTGCTGGCTTTAGGAAATGTAATAAGTGCTCTTGGGGACCCACGCAGGAAGAATTCACACATTCCATATAGGGATGCTAAAATTACCCGGCTTCTGAAAGATTCCCTGGGAGGCAGTGCCAAGACTGTCATGATTACATGTGTCAGCCCATCCTCCTCAAATTTTGATGAGTCCTTAAATTCTCTCAAATATGCCAACAGAGCACGGAACATTAGAAACAAACCCACTGTAAACTTCAGCCCCGAGTCAGACCGTATAGATGAAATGGAATTTGAGATTAAATTGCTTCGAGAAGCTTTGCAAAGCCAGCAGGCTAGTGTCAGCCAAACTAACCAGATCCATCGAGACGGGAGTCCTGATACAAATAGGATTCATTCTCTTGAGGAGCAAGTAGCTCAGCTTCAAGGAGAATGTCTGGGTTACCAATGTTGTATAGAAGAAGCCATTACCTTCCTGGTGGACTTAAAAGATACCGTCAAACTAAACCAAAAGCAGCAACACAAATTGCAGGAGTGGTTTAACATGACCCAGGAGGTCAGGAAGGCTGTCCTCACTTCATATCGAGGAATCGGAGGCACTGCAAGTCTGGAAGAAGGACCACAGCATGTTACAGTTCTCCAGCTGAAGAGAGAGCTTAAGAAATGCCAGGTACTTAGACATCATTTATGTATTTATTTATTTGATACATAATATATGTACATATTTTGGGGGTACATGTGTTAATATATATAGACATTATTATGGATAACTAAGGAGTAAATTTGTTTGAGCAAGTAAATTCTAAGAGTCATTTTGGAATTTTAGGTTTTTTTTTTTAAAAAGGATTTACATATAGAATCTCACTTGCCTCTCTTACTTTGTTCTTTCTACCTTACTTTTTCCCATTGCTTCCTCCTCACTCTTCATACCCTTCTTGTCTCCTCCTCTTTTCTCCGTTGAATAAAATGTATTTTAATTTGTTACATTTATGAAAGAGAACTTTGTGGACCTGGTTGTCAATTTAGAGATTGAAAATAAACATGTTTCAGAAGTAAAATTAAGTTATCTTCTACTGAGTTTTTCTCACTCTGTGGGTCAGTAGTTCTTGAAAGAAAAAAATACTTCATCCCTTGTGTTTGGAATATAGGTTTTAAAAAAACCCAACAAATTAATATATTTATTAATGCTTAAGGAATATAGGTATGTACATGTGTGCATGTTATATGTACATATATTGAGTTTCCCCACTTCTCATTCAGAAACTATTTATTGTGTGAAGATTGTATGACGCAGTAGGAATAGTGGAGGATGGGACACACCTCGTTATTGCTTGCTTGAAGTTTGCAATCTAGTGAGCAAATGAATGGTCCTTCAGTTGTTCCTGAGATAACATGGCTTCCAACTTCCATGGTTCTGTCCATTTTTCAAAATAGGAAAACTTACAGTTAAAAAGAGCTTTTTAGTTAAAAAGGAAATATCCTTTAAGTATATTTCCTTTTATTTTTTAAAGCTCTAAGCTTACTTCTTTATCTAGCTAGAAGTATTTCCTCAAAGCCTTTTTACGTGTAGCATTATAAAAAAGGCATTTGTATTATCCTCTGTTACAGCAGTTCTCAGAAATTTTTGATCACAAGACTTCTTTATGCTTTTAAAGTGAGATCCCTCAAAGAGCTTTTGTTTATGTGGGTTATATCTATTGATACTTACTGTGTTAGCATTAAAACTGAAAAAAATCTAAGCTATTTATTTATTAATTCATTCAAAACTAACAGTAACCCAATTACATGTTAATATAAAGAGCATTTTTAATGAAAAATATTTTCTAACACACACAAAAATTTTATTGAGAGTAGAATTGCTTTACAGTTTTGCAAATCTCTTTAACATCTGGCCTAATAACAGACAGTTGGATTTTCATGTCTGCTTCAGCATTCAGTTTGTTGCAATATGTTGTTTTGGTTGAAGTTTGTGAAGAAAATTCAGCCTCAGCCTCATATTATAGTATAGCCTCCTAGTTGTGTAGTTTGAAGGGAGGAGTATTTCACTGATTTTTTTCACATAGTTGTGGATATTCTTCTTTACTATTACACCAAAACTCAACAAGTGGAAATTTCTAGTTGCCTGAAATACAAGATTTGAAACTATTTTGTTACATTAAGATTTGTACATTAAAAATGTACTAGTCTCTGCCAGGCACAGTGTGCTCATGCCTGTAATCATAGCACTTTGGGAGGCTGAGGCTGGAAGATTGCTTTGAGCCCAGGAGTTTGAGACCAGTCTGGAAACAAAGTGAGACATGTGCCTGTACAAAAAATCAAAAACTTAGGCAGGCATGGTAGCTGTGGTCCCACCTACTCAGGAGGCTTAGGTGGGAGGATCACTTGAGCCCAGGAGTTCAAAACTGCACTCCAGCCTGGGTGGCAGAGTGAGACCCTGTCTCTAAATATAAATGAATAAATAAATAATAACATAAAAAGATGTAATACTTTTGAAATTATTTTTTTGAGTTTTTTTTTCTGAAAGGGAATAACTCTGCCTAGGTACAGTGGGCCGTTCCTCATTAGTATAAGAAACTGCCAGGTGCAGTGGCTTACGCCTGTAATCCTAGTACTTTGAGAGGCTGAGGCAGGTGGATCACTTGAGGTCAAGAGTTCGAGACCAGCCTGGCCAACATGGTAAAACCCTATCTCTAGTAATAATATAAAATTAGCTGGATGTGGTGGCTCATGCCTGTAATCCCAGCTACTCAGGAGGCTTAGGCAGGAGAATCACTTGAACCCAGGAGGCGGAGGTTGCAGTGGGCCAAGATTGCACCATTG